GCTGAAGGCTGCCGAGCATACAAAGAAGAAACAGTGACATCCCAAAGACTTTTAAGAAAACATAACAATGCTTTCACTGGCCGTTAATTTAAGATCTAACACGGAATACATTTAAGTCCGGGATTTTAGCTTACAGGAATGACAAACAACAGTCATAAAGAGGAGTTTACAGTCGGATAGGATAAAAAATGGCAATGGTTATACTTTTCGATGAAATTACGTAACTTGCACATTTAAGATTATCTTATTTTCCGCCCCAGAGAGAACGAAAATACATCGGGAGCTGCTTATCTCGTTCAAGTGAGATTGAATTTCATCGCTGGGTGACAAGTGACGTGTGGTATGGTCATAAAAGCTGATGCAATCACGAAGAGGTTATTGATTAACAAACAAAACTACAACCAACGTACCTCCGTATAAACGTCGTGACACTGAAAAAATTTAAGCCCGGCATTCAAGCTTACATAAGCTTACAGGAATGACAAACAACTGTTAAAAGACGAGTTTACAATTCATTCAGCGATTCATTGCACGGTCGGATAGGACAGAAAAAAATAACAATGCTGAAACTTTTCGATGGAATGACATAACTTGCACATTTAAGATTACCTTATTTTCCACATCAGAAAGAACGAAATAAATCGAGGAGCACTTTAAGCTTATACTCTATCTCATTCAAGTAAAATTACATTTCAACGCTGCGTGACAACAATTGACGTGTGGTTGGTCCTGATGCAATCACGAAGAGATCATTGATTTAACAACCAAACCTACAACTGACGTTCCACAACGCCTTGCATCCGATACATATTTACAGTAAGCTAACCTCGGCAAAAAGCAGGCTTAAATTTGAAGATAGCCACTTACCTTCTCCTTCCCGTTTGTCTTTTCGTTCAGTCGACGCCTTTTTTGCTTTGCTGCTTCTCGCTCCGTTCTTCGCCGGTCGTCGCTAATTCGGCGTCTATTTTCTCTTGCTCTCTCTCATTCATCCTCCAGTTGCTCATCAGTGACAGGTTGTCGCCTTTCCCTTTCTCTTTCTTGCTCTTTCCCTCGTTGCTCGTCACTAAAATTTTGCCTCCTTTCCCTGTTTCTTTCTTGCTCTCTCTCGCGTTGCTCATCAGTAAAATTGTGCCTCCTCTCTCTATCTCTTTCCTGCTCCCTCTGGCGTTGCTCGTCAGTTAAATTGCGCCTCCTTTCTCTATCCCTCTCCCGCTGCTTGTCAGTAAAATTTTGCCTCCTTTCTCTGGCTCTCTGCCGCTCTCAATCTCGTTGAGCTTGGCTTGCTTGCCGCCTACTTTCTCGTTTTCTTTGCCTCTCTCTATCTCTATATTCCAAACTAGAGGACATAGTTGATAAAATATGTAGAAAATACGGATGTAAAAACAATTTCCGTTAACCGATACGAAAAATTTCTTTTGTTCTGAGTTGATTTCACTGGGCCAAGTTGTTTTTACTTCACAAAACGTGGGTGGCCATTCGTTTTCGCGCCAAAACAAAACTTATTATGCACACAGACTACCCAAAATTCATTGGTATGCCTGCGTTGCGGACGGACGGTGGTCGGTCGGTCGGTGTACGGTCACGTGATTACCAAATTTTCTGGGATGGGTAGATTACCTTAGCGATGGGGCTCTGCCCATATTTGCTTAACAATTAATGGCTCAAATCTTCTTTTAATTCATAACAGGGAATCTGAGCCATAAAATGCGTAAGAGAAAGATTTGACAACTGTTTAGAAATTTCAGAATTTACAAGGATTTGTTTGGAAAACCACTCAAACGTAGCTGGGTGGCAAGAGTTGTTTGTCGAGTACAAATCCTTCGGATTCTCGGTGTCCATTTTTCAGATATACGGCTCAAAAATTTACATGTTACCCGATCTTAATATGATCTGTTAGCTCCAGCAAACATACTTTTTCAAAAGCGAACTGTTGTTGTGTTTACCAAAAATTGATAGTTGTTAATAGTTAGTTTGCTTAACTTAAAAACTAATGCAAAAGGCCTATTCTCATTGAAGTATATATAAACTTATCAAACAGTATACTGCAATTTCTCATTAGGATTAAGGGTTAAAGAGCAAATTCAAAATATAATTTTCTGAAATTGGTGAATGGCAAAATAATCCATAGCAAGATAATAATTGGGGACCTTAAGATATACCTATAGATATTGGTGGGTGAACTTGTTTCCCACACATTAACAAAAAAGGCCATCATGATTTTTCCGGGGCCATTCCCCTTTATACCCACCTCCCCCCCTCCCCCCGCCTGTATAAATGAGATTTTCTGAAGGGGTCAAAACTAGGAGAGGGGTTTTCCTGAGGGGGTTTGTCGTCCCAAATGTCATTTTCAAAAGAGTGCAAATACCAAGAATACATAAATGTCTGAAGAGGTAAAGGGAGAGGGTGATCATCAATATAGGCATGGTGAATGCAGTTTTTCTTGTAAAGAGTACTATAAACATATTTTCTGAAGGGTAAAGAACGAAAATAATATTATTTC